GATGCTGCCACGCCCATCGTGCGATAATAATAATTTATACTTATCAAATGGCACAAATCTTGATTCGAGTATATGAGCCTGAGCCCTGGATGCAGTCATAGTAATGATGTTTTCTTTTTGTTTGACAAGAAAATTTGTGCTTTGTGGCAATTCGTTGTAGAATGCAAATTTCTGGACAAAAAAGCGCACTGCAAGAGTGCTCGACCAGTATCAGGGTATCTGTAACCAGTTAATTTAAAGCTATATATAAACTTTTAATGCCTTTCATATGAGTTCTGACTACTTTTGCATGTCAGTTTTTCTGGTATTTTGCAGAAGCAATTGATCTATTTAGTATTCAAATAAGTAAAGGGTTATTCTTCTCATTATGTCCTGGCAGTTAAAACTATTTAGCAGAATGTTATATTTTTGACAGAAACAAATCCTGGGCGACTTTGCTTGATTTTGATAGTGCTTAAGTTATGCATTCCTTTTCGCCTCGATTCCTTTTTAACTTCTCTTCATCTTGATATTTTAAAATTCGTCTTGACCTATAATTTCGATTTAATTAAATAACAATCGTAAACTGATTGAAATTTTTAAAACTTGACAAGTTTTCTTATGTTCCATAAACCTTTTAAAGAACATGCATCTTCCTAAATTTTGTTGCACAAACAAACGTACAAATTCCCAATACATGGGTTTCCTATTTATTATTATTTTATTTTCTCTATAACCTTTAACCATGTATTTAAATCAAAAGGTGCACAAGAATTATATTATAAATTACCAATTAAAGAATATATTCTCTATTTTTTCGTGGCATTTGAATCTTCAAAAGGCTTTAATCGTGTGTCTGAATTATTTCAGCGCAAAGAACTTTTCGAACAAGTCGGATACAAGAACAAGTCAACACAAAGTATTTTCCTTTTAAAAGTAGTCAAATGTTTGAGAAGTACACAAGGACCCGAGCTCTTTAGACTGAAGGGTTGCCGTGCGAGGACAAACAAACGAGAACAAAAAATTGATTGACAATTATTGATATTTTATGAGCGTGGCCTAAAAGTCGTTAATGTAAATTTGATGTGGGCATTTAACTGGCATTAAAAAAAAAAGTAACAACAGACAGACAAAATGTCAATTATAATCAAAGTTTAACAATTGTTTTGCGATTATTAACATTTGCGATTACTTTTTGATTATTTCGATTTGAGTTTAAAATATAGCAAATATTGGGGCTGGGGCAGTATTAAGGCAAAACGTGTTTAAAAGCTATTTAATTTTGTTTCCAACTAACTCTCAAAAAGGATTTTCGGCTTCGAAATCTAAGCTGAGCGATTTTTATGGCCTTAGAAATATTTTATTTCAGGAAATGTATATCTGCTTTTAGGGCTCTTTTCCGAAATTTTTCTTGATCCGTCCGTGTGCTTTTTCGGTCCTCTCAGATCTTTCGATTTCTTTTTACAAATATTGCCCAGGCTTTTTCATTTATTCAACTGATCAAAAATAAAGCATAAGCATATGTAATAATTGAGACTTTATGGTGATTATATCATTGCAATATTATTATTTGGAACTATGTTAGAAAGTTTTCGTACATTCCTTGAACGTTGAAATAAGCGAACAGAACGCATATTTAAACCTTTGCACCTACGAAGGCTATATAATATGTTTAGTTTTTTTTTAAGCAACTATTTAAGACTTTTGCTTAAGAAAATCAGCTGAAAAGTTTTTTTTTTTCATTTTAGTTTAGCTTCAGTTTACAAATTCAAATAATATAAAGCTTCATATTAAAAATACAACTTTTTCTACACAATTTAAAATGTGAGCAAAATACTTAGAAGTAGATTTTCAAGAAATCATGTTTGACACAGTATAAATGTTTCTTGGAAATAATTGGTGAAATGGTAAATCTCTTATATTTTTCACGGAATTTAAAAAAATATTTTAAAAAGTGTGACCAAAGGTATAACAATAAACAGAGAAATATCTTTATATATTTTACAAAAATATAGTTAAAAATCGGATCAAAATTTCAATGAGGTCAAACTCACCTTTCTGTTTTTTTCTTTTTTGCCAGCTAATACGACAAATATATTAAATAGAAATTAGTTTAACGCGCGTTTACCGTTTACAGCGCGATGCGGCGAATTGATTAACGTGTTTTTTTTATCTCCTTATCAGCACTGGAATTGTAACTGTAACTGAAATTTGTCAGATTTGGGTGCAGACAAAAATTCGCTGACACTTTGACTCTGAAAAACACTCTCGAAAGACTGACGTAAAAAGTTCTTCAAAAACTTTTACAATTAAAGGGTTCACAATAATCGAGAAAAAGAGTTTTTTAAACAGATTTTTGTTTCTTTCTATTTTTTTTCCTCAATTAACTTTCACGAAACGCACAAAAAGAGCGATCAGAAATAACTGTTTTTATTTTATTTGAAAACTGTGTTCTTTAACCGTTAGTTGGCGAGAGCGCTGGTTGGGTTGACTGGTTCGACGCGCACGAAACGAATGCAGCGCCAACGACGAAGGCGACTTGTTTTATACGCGAACCGCAGCCGAACGTTCGTTCGCCTCGCTTGCCGCCGACTGTTTCAACTTCAACTGGTGTTCGTCGCTCCTGTTGCGCCTTCAATGAAAGCTATGCGCTAAGCCGGCATAGGCCAGCGTTGGTTCGTGTCCCGACTAAAATAAAAGCTCTTTCGCCACGCGCCCACGCAACAAAGCAGCGCAGCAGCGTATGCTGTGACGTCAGCGCGGCGAGGTCGTGTTGATTTAAAGCTGTGCTAGTTGCCTGCCATTCGCTGGCATTTGAATGTGTTGTTGTTGCTTTTATTGCTGTTGCTTCTTCTTAACCTACGCACACGCATTTGGTGGGCGGCGCTTAAATTTTGTGGTCACCTTTTCGGGCTTACCAACCGCAAGAGGGTTGATAACTAATAAAAAGAAACGGTAAATTGTTGCAGGCACATTTGATGTCAGTTTTTAGGCCAGTTTTTGTCTCAATCCAACTAGTTTTTCTTTGTTATTTTTGTGATGTGCTTATATGAGTTTATCCCCATGTCATTCGCCAAGCTGGCGATCAGATTTCATTTAACAGCTGCATTTACATTTCATATTTGACATTTCATTTAATCGCTTAAAATGTAAGCTAATCCCATACTGCAAATAGAACAAAAGAAAAATGGAAATGTGCCTCATTAAAAAAATATTACGCATACGCAGTGTGAAGTGTGGGCATTTCATTCAAACTTACTTCGTTGAAATTTATTGTAATGGTGTCCAACTTGAAGTCTGAAAAAAATCTTATAGTTTTAAATGTCTGAAAATATTATATATTTATATTTTACAAACTAATGGCGCTTAAATAATATCTAAAAACATATTAAGAAATAAATGTACACAAAAAATCGAACTGGTAATTAGCTCAATTTTTAGCAAATTTCGGCCGGCTGTCTTCAACATGGTTTTATCTTTTTTGCATTTAATAGTAGAAATAAAATGTTTGTTTGAAGATTTTAAATTCATTTTGTTCTCTTTCATAACTTTGAATTTGCATTTCATCTTTCAATGACTTTAGTTATGATTTATTTATTAGAGTTGTCAGTTTAACAACAACATTTTCAAGCACAATATCTGATTCTAAGTTATATCTTTAGGATTTGAGTTTCAAAATAAACCCAATGAAAGGTAACATTAAATAAAAATTAATGACGTTATAATATTTATTATTGAATGCATTGAAATAGGCAATTATTTAACTTTAATCCAACTGAAATTTAAAATCAGTTGATTTTTGAGAAATTTTGAAGAATATGGGTATTTTGAAAGACCTTACAACACAGATTAGAAAACTGGTCAAGTCACAAATATTAATAAAAATGTCAATGTTTACAAATATAACAATAATGTTTAAATATTAATGTTATTTAAACACTAACTAACTTACACAAAAAGCAAACATTTGTCATATTACAAAATCCACAGAAATTGGATCGTAAGCTGAAACGGTAATTGGTTCGTGCAAAATTTGCTGCTGGCTTCGAAAGCTTATGCAGCTTTTTGTGGTACGGTCATATGGTTGAGGCAAGCACAGTCGTGGCATAAATAATGTGTACACTCAATACTGGAACCACGAAACTCTTAGTTTAAATTCTGAAGCAAAATATAAATGTAAGGAATTTTACAAATTTTTTGCTAAAAGCACTTGTTCACTAATTTAAAATCATCCATTATGTTCTTAAAGCTTTGACCCTAGGATAGTATTATTTTTTACTTATACAATCAAAATTTAAACGATTGAATAATAAATAAAATATACATCTCACAAGTAAACAAAGTTATTAAAATACACTAAACTCTTCTAAAATGTTTGGTTTGCTCAACGTTAAGGTTTTGCAACATTGAGAATTGGACCAAATTTGGACTTGAACTCTGATTTTAAGAAAGAAAAAACACGCACAATTTATAAGGAATATTAAATGTTTTACTCTTTATTCGATTGCTAATTAGTTTTATTTATTTGTATTTATTATGCAAATATTGCCAAATTTGTTCATCAAATAATACAGTTTTCGTTTTAAATTCACTTAATTGCATTAAATTATGCACATTGCTGGGCTTTGTATGAAACATTTATTCGAAACGAGCTCAACTTAGTTTATAAACGACAAAAAATATTGTACACATTAATTACAATTAAATTACAACTAAATAACCGTAAATGTGTATGTATTTATTATTATTCAATTAATTATTCAAATAATTTACACTAAAACTTATGCTTAGGAGTCGAGTGCTCATTGCTTGTTCACGTTCTATAATACGATTATTTCGCTATGCCAAAATTCGCGTTCAAATTTGATATTTATTTTTCAATTTTGGTTTTGTTTTTTATTTTATATTGCGCATTTTATTAGCCAAAATTGTTTACAATTTTTTTTTTATAGTTTTTATGTTTAACATAATCTAAATATAATTTTATTACTGCTGATACGTTTTCTTTTGTTTAATTGCTAAATCACTGGATTTTTTCTATGCGTTTTTTTTTTAATTTTATTTTTATTGCATTTGATTTTTATGGTTTCCATAAGCAGAAAATTACAAAAGTTGTTTGCCTAAACAATTTACATAGGGATTTTTAATTTTGTTCAATGCCAGCCCGTGTTTTATGTATTATTTAGACTAAGTTCTAAATTATCAGTTATTTTTTTTGCTTAAGTGCTAAGCCTAAATTTATATATATATGTATATATATGTATATAAATGTGATATTCGATCTACACAAAATTCGCCAATTACTAAAATTATGCATTTATCGTAAACGTATATGTATTGTATATATGTGTATATAGTATATCGTATGTGGTATATCATTAACTATTGCTCAGTAAGTGTGTTTTGCGTGTTAAGCAACAACAAAAAAATTAAATCAACATAATGTGCCAGCTATATAAATCGACTCTTGCTTTTCAGTTAACATAGTTAATGCTTCATTTTTTCTCTATATAATTTGTTTGTTTTCTATTTTTTTTTTTGCTCGCTCAACACGACGATATCACAACAAAATGTACCAAGTAGAAGAATTAGTTATCGTTATCGGTTATCGATAGCCACAATCGATTCACGTAAACGGCGGCGGCAGCACAATCGGATCGAAGCTCTGTTGCAGCATGGAAAAATTACTAAAGTTCGCCATGCGACGGTATCCCCACAGATCCATGGCCTCTACGCACACATCCTGAATTTGTTTGATCTGTCCGTCGTAGGAATAAGGATAAAAAAAAAACATTCAAACCGATTTCATTCAAATAGTATAATAGTAGCACTCACCTCATCTGCCCGTAGATCCTGCTTCCAGTGAAAGGGCGCCGATCTGGAATCGCGATATGTGGAACTAACGCCGCCTTTGTTCTCCTTGGTGTGCGTATCCAAAAACTCCTCGACGGCGGGATCAAAGGGCAAGCCGTAGAACTGTAAAATGTCCTGGGTCACATCATAGGGATTCAGCGACAGATCCTCATAACGCAAGGTTCTATACCAATAGGAATAGTAAACCGAAAATAAATAAATAAATATGCATACGTTTCATATACGGGGACGACCCGAAGTCTCTTCCAACCCTATTTTAAATCTCGATGAAGAAGATTTCTCGTTGGCCTGAGTACCTAGTCACGAGATTTGGTCAAACACACCCTCTAAAAAAATAAACCAATGCGTATTCATATTTTGAGAATTTTGGTCCATTTGTTTAATCAAAGTGTATTTTACAAAGTCTCTAGTCAAATATTGGTAATCAAAACCCCCAAAACTATTCGGCCACAATGATGACAACTGTTTATCAATAATAATCAAATTGTTGCTAGTTTTTGATTTATTAAATTGATCCATGGTTTATATAGGCTAAACAATTGAATCGTTTGCTGGTCCGGAAACAGAAAATAAATCAGTCAACGTTCTGTGTCAACGACGAATTATTTAATAGATTAACAAACTAAATGAACCCAAAAATGTTTAAATGTTCGGTCTTAAACTCATTTCTAACGGTTTTTATTGTAATTAGTTTATTAAGGATTTCATTTATTATTGGCTTAAGAAGCATTCAAATCAAAGTTTAAATAATTAATGGATAACTCACCTGAAACGACCCGGATACACCTTGAGCAGCTTATCGGCCGTCTTGTAGTCATCCACCAGATCCTGACAGACCAGAGCTGGATCCTCGCAATCCTCATTGCCGCCGCACCAGATGCGATGGCGACGCGATTGCATGGTGCCCCGCGGATCCCGCACCAGCAGCACAATACGCACATTGGATAGACTGCAATTAAATAGATGCGAGTGTTATGAATATGATAAGTACACTTGCAGCTATTATATCTGGCGTAATAGTTGCGCATAGAGCGTGAAGTTCGCTGTGCCATAACAATGGCTGGACCCACTTTAAAATGGCATTCAATTAAATTTAATTAAACTCATCAGCTATGAGTCATAATTAGCATTTAATAATAGCTAGCCAATTTGATAATTGTATTTTTGAATATTATTAAATATCATCCAAATAATAAAATGTCCATTCCTAAATGCTTGACAATGAGTGAAGTTATGAATGCCAATGATTTTAAAACATTTAATTATAATGTGATAAAAAATGAAAAATTAGTTTCTTTTCAACGCCAAAAAATACGTCTACTTTAAATTATATTTTTTAACATTATTTCCAGTTCATAAAAGTGAATTAAGACTAATAAATTTAAAGGTTTTTGAAAGTTTTTTTATTATTGTTGTCTAAGAAACTTTAAAACTTAATAGCTCCTTTTCAATTTTTGTTATTATTATTATTAATTGGGCTACTTGGCTTTTATAAAGCACTGACAACAAACGACAGCATTTTCCCAAGATGCATTTGGTTATACATCTGTAAAGAATGAGTAGGTTTAATACTGTTCGTTTATATTATCTGCAGCTCACTCAATTATCAGAACCGTTCAAATTGTCAATGCTTCTTCATCACATCACATCATCATTATTATTATCGTTGTTATCATCATTATCGCCATAATAATCGACAGTAACCACAGCAAAGCAAACTGCAACTGTAGCAGTTAAGCCCCCTACGGAGCCCACAATACTAATGAGTTTGTGGTAGTTGTAGTAGAACTGTCAACCAGTAAACAAACATTCATAGATATAAATGTATCTCGACGTGCACACACATACACAGACACAGAGATACATATTCAAATTTGCCAAGCAAATAGTCGGAAACACGAAATGCGTTCAAAAATAGGCTTTAAGCGCAAGAGTCAAAAGCATCTTTTGGGCCAAGTAATATTAATAATATCTATTGAGGCTTGTTATACCATATAAGTAAAGATTTGAGGGGTTTTTGTTTTTTAAATTTCAAAATATATATATCCTAAACTGCATAACAATTTCTCTTCGTTTTGGTTTTTATACCCTGAACCCATTAAAAATGGGTATAAGGGTATATTGTATTTGTGCAAAATCCAAATGTATGTAATAGGCAGAAGGAAGCATCTCCGACCCCATAAAGTATATATATTCTTGATCAGCATCAATAGCCGAGTCGATCTACCCATGTCCGTCTGTCTGTCCATCCGTCCGTCCGTCCGTATGTATGAACGCAAGGATCTCAGAACCTATAAGAGCTAGAGACTTGAAATTTTAGATGTAGGTGCTCCTAGTTCCCGCGCAGATCGAGTTTATTTCCGATAATCGATAACCTACTCCGTTTCCAAGCAATCGATAAAAATCGATATCGATATCCTGTTTTTTGGGCAATTTTGGTAAATAATAAGAGCTAGAGTCACCAAACTTGACATATAGCTTCTAAAATAGAATATATATATGCATTTGATGTTGGAAGAAGAGGGTTCAGGGTATCCCCTTGTCGGGAGCTCCCGACTAGAACCTCTTACTTGTTATAATAGCTCAAGGCTGGAAAAGCTATCGATAATTTTACTGATAGAATTCTCAGTATTTTGTGTAATACACCTAATGTGACTTGTTTTTTAATAGAGGGTATACAAATCGAATGTCATTGAATTGAAATTTTGTGCAAACGTGATACGCTTGTTGACACAATATAATGAAATTTTCAAGCGTTTCTAGCAGAAACGATAATATTGTGCTCGCATCAGTAAGTTATGCATAAAGTAGTGCAAAGTAGCCTGCAAATAGAGAGATACTTGGATACTAGCTTTCCTTATAGAGCAAAAAAGTGACTGCTGAAATTGTTGACAGGGAAAGCCACAAGGCGTGCAAAAATAATAACAGTAACAGTTAACAATAACAGTCACAGTGGAGAACAGCTGCAGAAATACGCAAAGAGCTAAAATCATACAAAAAATTGCACAAAGCCGCAAAGCGAATTGCGCAAAATACGCGCAGCAAATTGAAATGCCAAAGAAAAAGAGGCAAAAAGTCATTTGCATATTGATATAAGCCAACCGATGGGACCCAGCCAAAGGCAACAAAGTAAAGTAAAATAAACAAAGATGATCGAAGTTGAAGCTCTAATATCAGCACATTTGCCAATTGTGTAAGCTTTGTAAGCGGTTTTAGATACAATTGGACTATTTTAATTTTTCTTCTTCCAATTTACATTTGAGTTTCTGCCAGTAAAAATGAATGTGTTTCACAAGAATATGTTAGATAGTTTAATTAGCTTTGCAAATTATTCTGTGTACAAATATGTCTAAGCACTTTATTTTATAGACCTTTCCCTCTCTTCCATGTTCTTTTTTTATTAATTGTTATAATTGAACCTATCTATCGTTCCATTAACTGAATAGATTTTTCACTGGAATAAAAGCCACCTTCAATTATTTCTATTATCCACAAAACTAAGTGTTTCACAGTAAATGTATTGCATACAATCTGTTTAGCCGGATTATTCGTTTATTCGTTGTGAGTCCTGTCCGAAGCATCATGAATTATCGAGGTTTTATGTACACACATTTTATTATATTTGCGAACTTTGTACAGTAAAGTGAGATATTACCCAATAATTTAACATCCCCATCGTTCTGAGCCTTCCTTGTTGCTTAACAACCAAATCTACGGCCATAAAATTGCCAATAAGCTGATCATATGTAATCTTATAAAAATATATATTAGTATATAACACAAGTATTCATATAAATGTTTAGACATTGACATCTGATGGGTATGCTTGGCATATTATATATATATTTTTGACAGCTGCTCAACAATTTTTTTGCATTTCGGTTGAATTGAATTTATGTTTAATTACATTCCATTTCATTTCTAATTTATGCCCAAGAGCACTTTGTGAGCTCCAAGTGCCGACTCGACTTCCACTCAATATTTAAGCACATAACATATACACATATACATATATGAATATACCTTTATATATTTTGTGCACCCACAATATTTGCTTTAATTTCACTTTTTGAAAGTTATTTACCTGAGATTGTTTGCTTTTTGAGTAATTATTATACAATAGTTGCTATAAATATACATAAATATTGTTATATAAGCTAAATAATTATTATACCCAAAAGATGCTTGAACTACATTGCCTTGCGGTATACATTTTTATCTAGTAGAGCCAGAGCAAAAGTTACTTTGAAAATAATCACGATGATATAATAAATGTAATCATATTGGTCTTTTATTATTTAACAAAATTTATTGAAGTTACTTGAACACATATTCAAATCAATCTTTCATACCAAAAATATAATAGAAACTGAATTTCATGGTAAACATATTGAAATAAAATTAATATGTAAATCAAATTGAATATACATTAAATTGCACATTATTAAATAGATTCCATTTGAGGCGTAAACAACTATTATTTACTTATAGAGAACAAATCAATTCACACTTCATTGAATTTTATATAAAACATCAAATATTGGAGATGCCATTGAAACCAACGAATAAAATTATATTACATTTCGTACATTCAGTTTTCAGAAATTTTTTGCTGCATATTTCAGGCTAGCATCAAAGTCATGTAAAAAATTTCAATTCATCTCTGTTGCAATATACAACAAATTGCGCATACGCTCTGTTGACCAAAGGCTCGCTCGCCATTTGTATGTGTGTGTGTGCTTCCTGTGTGTGTGTTGGCTTATTTATACTTATAAATATGCATAATTGTCGCGTGCGAGTAAGCAAAAAACGAATGTTGGAAACGCTATAATATATGTTCACGAGAAAGAGCGCAATGAAAATTTTCAGCCATGAGAAAACAAAAAATTATTTGTTTAAGTGCGGAAAACATAAGAAAAAGCACGCCAAAGAGAAAAGGAGAATGAAATTAAAAAGCCTGTGGACAGAGTTAAAATAGCCAAAGGCAGACACAGCAAAAGAAATTAAAAATTCAGCACGCGTCGCAATTACCCAACAAAATTACGCGAAGTAACAAAAAAAATTAAATTTGAAAATTGGTTAGAATAAACAATGTCCAAATTATGCACTCTGTTAAATGTGTAATTCAAACAATACGGAAAATCTTGCCTGTTCTTCAATTTGACTATTGAATGAAAGAAATTCGAATGGCCGTAAATTTGTAGCTTTAATTTCCACAGCACTTTCACAAGGGCCAGACACGCCTCCTGCTCGCAGACAATTAATCAACATTATCAGCTTATGTCAGACGAACCCATGAAAGCCCCAAAAAAAATTGGGGAACAGCTGCACGCATGAAATTTTACCGCTAATCCAGTTTAATGCTAATTACCCATGTAAAAAGCGGCACAGCCAATATCCTGACAAAGCCAGCAAAAACCTCGCATTTGCCTTTGTGTTAACAAATTGGATTGTTAATATTTCTAGTGCGCGACTACGAAATGATCTGTAAACAGCACTAGCATACTTTTATATCTTAAAACAAATTCTTATTCATTTTTAAATATGTATAATTTAGTAAAATATATATTTCAATCAGAATTTCATTACTTTATTTAATTAAATAACTTTAGTTAAAATAAATTACTTAGGTTATTGGAATAGCGTATTGTGTTATTTATTTAGACCCATATAGATCTAGGCAGGGACTCGTGTTTATTTTATGGATTGTCTCAGCCGAACGTTAACTAAAGTTACTAAAAATCAATTATTTTCTATTCTGATAAGATACAAAAAATAATAAGAAAAAAGGCATTCACTTGATAGCTAAATATCTTTTAAATATGCTTTCTGTCAGCTATCACATTTTAGACGCAGACTATCAAGGGGCTATTAAAGGTCTAAAAAATAAATTTAAAAAATTAATTTTCCTTTTAAATAGTATTGGTGTATAAGCAAATAGATTTCTTA